CTGTACATATCTGACTGTCATCGTACTCAGAGGGTTGAATTACCTACTGAAAGTGTTGGATTGTCTTACCGGTGAAATAATGTTATTGTATCTGTCTAATTAACTTATGGTACACAGATATTTTCTTTTATCACAGGAAAGAGATCAGATCTCCTTAGGGTGTGGTCGGTGATCGTACTGAGGTTATTAAGTTATCGTAGGAGGGCAGTGAATGGTTACACGAAGCTTCAATATAAGTTAGGTTTAGGGTTCTGTTATCTTAAATAAGGGCTCGTGATTTTTTACCTAGTTACTACGATCAGGGGTGCAGGCGGTGAGTTAGCAGAATCCACTCTTATGCGGGTGTGACGCCTGGTGATTGGTACTTTGTCTACTGTGACATCAGCTATTATCCCTGCCCCTTGTAATGTGCCAGTCTAACCTAACCTAACCCGACGAGTGTTGAAACTGAATAAACACCGCAAATATGTTAGGTCTAATTTACTCATAAACAGATCTAACTTAATCTGATCTATTGATCCAAAATTTACACCTAAACTGTTCTAATCTAACCTAACCAACCTAACCAAACCTAACCTAACCTAACCTAACCAAACCAAACCAAACCAAACCAAACCTAACCTAACCTAACCTAACCTAACCTAACCTAACCTAACCTAGCCTAACCTAACCTAACCTGACCCATGGAACATAACTGGTCAATATTTAATCGTACTAAGTTGAAAGGACCACCACAGCATGCCCTCAAACGCGTGGATTTTGCTTCATGTGGCTCCTCGATGGACACAAGTAATTGTTCTTTAAAAAATGAGATTCTCGCGTCGGTCAAATTTCGCTGGAGCATTAAATAAATTTTTTTTATTATGGGAAAGTTATAGATATTACCATAAGTTCACAGAGTACTTAGTTTTATATCTGTTCTCTCCAGTTACTCTCTCTCTCTCTCTCTCTCTCTCTCTCTCTCTCTCTCTCTTTGTTTGCTTGGTTTAGTCAAATTTCTCCTAACATTGTTCTCATCTTTACCTGTTTTTCATTATTTCTTCCTTCCTCCCTTGTTTCATCTTTTTTGCCTCCTCCCTCCCTCCCTCCTCCCCACCTCTTGTTCCCCTACATGTAAGTACCTTCAACCAAACATATTCCTCCTAATTAATAAAGGGAAAACACCAGTAAATGATTAACTTCACGACGAGACAGTGTTGGTGGTGTGTCGACCTGAGTTACATTCTCTTCACCCTTCTCGTTAACTTGGGGGTTGTTGGCGCTAGTTTTTGTTCTACTCTTAACAAGTCATTACCAGTAAGTTTCTTTTAACGGTTCGTACGAGTAAAGGGAAAATTTGTAAAGTGGAGTTGATATTAATGTTTAGTTTTATAATCGTGCGTGTTATGGATGGCTATCTGAAGATGTTTAATAACGGAAGATGATTTTACTCCCCGAGAAATGATATATTTATGTAAAACTGATACTCGGTGTATTAAAGGCTGGCCCAGGCGGACATGTTGATGTTAACTGAGGAAGGTTACTGAAGAAAAAAGGTACTATTGTTCTCCTGAGTCAACAAAGAGGGCAGCTTATGTTAAATAATGTCTGGTGATGTATGGTTGTATTGTTCATAATATTGTTTGTGACGTCTGTTCGTTGTACTTGAGGCCCCTGTACAGATCACCCCAGCTTATTTCACCTGAAGATTAACCTAACCGTCCACCAGGTAGCGTTACTGTGGTTAATCTTCAGAAGAAATAAGCTGGGGTGCGTAATCTTAAGGTGACCCCCCCCCCCTGTACATACTAGGCTTCCCATAAGTGTGCTTCACTACTGCCTCGCGCTCACTCCTTCACGTGCTATAATAGGATATACTGTATACTGTATGGAGTAAAACTGTATCCTGGTACTGTATCATCAACTAGAAATGTGAGGAATACCTGACCCTGTTAGAGGTACAGTGGGAACTTGTTATGTCATGGGTTCGAGTCCTGTATCGGACACACGTGGGAAGTGTTACCCAGTGTGACTCGCTCCTAAACATCACAGGTTTTGCTCCAGATACTCCACTTTCCTCCTGGACAATAAAAGTTCATAGCAGAGAACAGACCAACCGCCTGCACGACTAATGAGCTGTTTAGTGGCGAAAGGACACCTAATTCATATAATTATGGCGACCAAACTGTGATAGATGTGTTCTCTGACCTGAGTTACGAGGAAAATAATAACTATTAAGAATTCTACATAACTTGATATACTGAGTGTGTTGTAGAGAGATGCCAACAGGTAAATATTATGGCTATTTACACCTTATACGTAGATCTTCCCCGTCACTCTACATTTAGTCTGCCACACACAGTTAGTTTAATTCTCCTTAGACATGGATAAATATATAGGCAGAAAGACAGAGATAGATAGATAGATTTGAGAATGGGCAACAATAGCTATCATCACAGGGTGTGGTGCAGTCCAGCCAGCCACAACTCGCCCGCCACCCGTCTCTAAGCTGACGTTTATCCACCCCTACCCGTCAACCTCCGTCTTTCTCAGCCTCCTAACCGTAACTGAGCTCTATTATCCGTGCTCAAGAGCTCATACGCAGAGGTATGAATACTTTTATCCATGGTCAGTTAATGTCGTTTTGATCACAGAAAATAATGTATATATTTCGGTGTGTTTGGTCGTCAACACCGAAGATTCGCCCGATGCTCCTAACGCTGTATGAATCTTTAAACCGTCGGAAATTATAACAAACGGAAGATATTGACAAACCATTTTCATAGACATGTTTGATGAGTCTTTATCCAAGATGGAGAAATAGTGTTAAAAAACTGGTACTTTTATTTTACTGTATGGTCGTTCAGGACGAATAGTTTACGTCTGTGTTTGTCGAGATCACCACCACCACTATCATCATGTCTACTGTAGGGGTATCGAGATATTAATGTTGTCTAGCACTCAGGATGGAAGGAAACTCTAATGTGGTTTTCTTGTATAATATATAAGTTATATGATAGACAGTCTGGTGCTGGAGATGCCGTGTGGTGGGGAGCTGCTCAGTAGAAGACGTTCGGTGAGTAGCGTGTTGAAGGAGGTAGATGTGCAGGAGCTTTGTAAGAGAAGATGTTGCCTGTTGCTGGCCTCCTGGTTGAATGAATGCTGGATAGCTAGGAGCTTGCTGGAGGAGGTGTTGCGTGTTCAGGAAGATGGGCCAGAATGAGAGTTGGTTGGTGAGGAAGCTCAGAGAAGGACAGCTGGTGGGTCGCCATGCTCGCTGGCGGGAGCGAGGACCGCCAGGCAGGCGAGGAGATGCGAGGGCTGCCAGGCAGCGGCGGAGGAGGAGATGTTGCTTGTTCAAGAAGAATGGTCAGAATGAATTCTCAATGGAGAGACAGAGCTTATATACCCAGCAGCAGCCGCTATGAGTCATGTTGGGAAAACCCAGAAAGTCGCCGGTGAATAGTTTCGTTGCTAGGCAACGGCACGTCGGAATGCGTGGAGGTGCCGTGTGGTGGCAGTGGCTACGCAGTTGTAGGCAGTTGTAGGGGAGACGTCCACTACACTACCATCTTCATTTACCCAACTGGAAGTAGATTTAATTTGTGTCTTTGCGTAATAAGTGTATTAAAATGTTCTTGGTGTTGGTCGATGATACACAGAATTCCACGTACACAAGCTGCAGTAATTTTGAATATACTCAGAATTGCTTGAGTGTCAGTGGTAGAATACATGAGATTTGGGTTATGGGAGAAGACGTAGTGTGTATAGTAAACAGCCTCCCTCTAATATAGTTAACTGTTTACCCTCAACATAGTATTATACCCCGGCACTTGTGAGGGAGAAATATGACCCAACTTTTCTCAGATACTCATGATCATACAGTCCAAAACTACACACACACACCGACCTATAATGTAACACCTTTTAACGCTACTTGAGTTTTTGGCTGAAGTGCGGCGGCTAGTTCTCGCCCCAGGGAACCCCATCCAGTCACCCAACTGTGAATGGGTACCTAACTTTACGTTTGAAGAAGTGAAGGCGGTCAAGTACAGTGCCAAGCAGACTGTCTCTTAATATACCTGTGACGCCGTGTGTTAAGTTTGTTTTAATTAATATTTACATTTACATCACAATCGGTGATTAGTATTTACTATACAATTAATTGAAAAAGTTAGACAGTCGTATGTTATAGATCTAATTAATTGTGTATATTTTAGTACATTATTGGACGCACAGTATGAAACCACGGACCATAGGTATTGGAACATTCATTTACTATGGTATTTAGTTTAACATAAGTAGTATAATGTGTATTTATTTCGGCGTAATTAATAAGATGTTCGGTTACCAAATGTAGTAGGATGAGTGATTGAGTGTACCATGGAGCCACGCATACCAATGTGTGAGGGTGGAGGAGGTGGGTGTGTGAGGGTGGAGGAGGTGGGTGTGTGAGGGTGGAGGAGGTGGGTGGCCGGCTGCTCCCCGATATCCGAGACCCCCCTGGTGGGGAGAAAAACCTACCATACCTGGCTGGTGAGTTCCTCCCACCCCACACACACACACACACCTACACCCAACACACATGAGCATATATTCAGACAGGTATTTAAATTACTAACATGTATATGTGTATGTCCAACGGACTTTTACTAATACAATTATGTTTATACACAACTCTGTAATTCGAATAAGTGTTTGTACTGTGTGTGTGTGTGGAGCGAATCGCTAATTATATATATTTCCAGTCTATAATTGTTAGGCATATATACTTTATGTTTAACCACACAATTGCTATTATTATTATTATTATTATTATTATTATTATTATTATTATTATTATTATTATTATTATTATTAAGAAGGTTGTATTACATAGGGTTGTATTATTCATTCACATCTACAACAACTAAGGCATTATAAATAGCCTATAACTCCAACAAGCTCGTATAACATGTGAGTAGAGCTGCAAGATTATAGGTGAGGCGTGAGTGTACTAAGAGGTGTGTTTTCCTTGATAGGTGGCGCGGATCTTCCAGGACGACTCACTGCTGCTCAACTTGATAGGGCGACAGGCATACACCGCCTTCATCCCCACCAACGACGCCCTCAGCAAGTATGACGGGCCCAAGGACTTCAACCTGATTCAGTACCACTTGGGTGTGTAACCTGCCTACCCCTACCTACCTCTAATGTGTTACCAGTGTAAATTATTTAATACGTTTTATTTCTCACTATAAGTCACTACAAAATACACTGCATCCTTTTTCCTTATTTGTTTTTCGATAAATTGGCGTGTTTTTTCCATCGCCTCGTATCTATAAACAGTTAACTATGCCTGCCACTGTCAGTCTGTTGTGTACGCCTCTGTAAACTGTCCACATCACTGTCTGTAAACTGTCTACATCACTGTCTGTAAACTGTCCCCATTATTGTCAGTCAACTGTGCACGTCACTGTAAAAAAAATGTCAAGACTTTAGGAGAATTTTTTATTATTTTGTACCGTAAAGTGTCGGCAATATTTATAGAAGCAATGTGTGCTGTATCTAGGTCAGGGAAGTCGTCAAACTGTCTCGTCAAGCCCACAGTGTTGTTTGTTGTGGGGCCACCATATACAGTAAACCTCTGTGGTAGGAGATGTGTCACGCCGGGGCCTCGCAGCTGTCTCAAGATATTGCTGTAATACCAATTTACGTAAATGAGGTAAGATGGGCCTCAAAAGACGGCCAGGACCCCCGAGGCGAGGCTGAGTGACGGTGGTGTTGGTAAGTGCTAGTTCTCCCTCCACTTCCACTATATTTTCTATCATGACTTTCTCACCTTACTGCTTCTCATAATTATATCTCAGACACCCTTTACCTAGAGCGTTTGGTCGCCTTTGTGTTTCTCAGCGCCATACTCATTTACGTTCAGTTTTCACCCCTTCTCCCCTGTGGTAGTTTGGCCGTGCTAGTGAGTACACAATCCTTGACTTCCTTTGAGCATTAAAGGTTTGTAATTACTCTTGGCCAGTAAAGTGATGTGTTGTCTCACTACAGAATGACTCGATACTTGAAACTTGTAGTTTGGTACAAAATATTTAGTCTTCGTGGCTACATAACTATTATACCGTCTCTAACCGACTGTTACACTGATGTCTTGCCCACAGGGAGAACAAGGTCACCATGTCATGCCAGGAACAGTATACTGTACCCCACCATGTCATGTCAGGAACAGTATACTGTACACCACCATGTCGTGCCAGGAACAGTATACTGTACACCACCATGTCGTGCCAGGAACAGTATACTGTACACCACCATGTCATGCCAGGAACAGTATACTGTACACCACCATGTCATGCCAGGAACAGTATACTGTACACCACCATGTCATGCCAGGAACAGTATACTGTACACCACCATGTCATGCCAGGAACAGTATACTGTACACCACCATGTCATAACAGGAATAGGGAAGTTGGGGGGTATACAAGAGTGGATCCAATGGGGATTATACGCGATATAAAATTGTATGGATTTTTGTAGTACTGAACAAAGCTTCTTGGTGGGGTGGCGGGAGTGAGGGACATATTGTTGTTAAGTGGCCTAGTCAGTCTCTGGTGGTTCTGACCTATTATAATATTCCTATAACTACTTCCTCTGCTAATTGGATATATTAGGTTACAGATTACAGAGTTGATATTACAGTGATGCTATACTGTACTGTTCCTACACCTTTAGAACTACTAGCTTTATGTTAGGTAGCCTAGTACACAAGAAGTCTTGGTGTGTATGTATGTAATAATAATAATAATAATTAACGGTTTATTGAAAAGATCAGCAGCCTGAAGGCTGAAAATATACATTAAAGAAAATGACTTATTACACACAAGACTTGGGGTGGGTGGGTCATTTAACAAAAGTTTTTATTACTAAAAGGAGAAGGAACATGAATTGAACATAAAAATTATTATTGTTTACTGTTGATGGCCCGGGCTGGTCTCTTGCCATACTGTGAGGTCACGTAGGCCACGTGGTGCAGTGACTCGACCATAGGTCTTGACATGAAGGACCTCACATGGTCATGGAGACACCGCGTGGTGTGGTGCTCACATGGTGTAGTAACTCGACCATAGGTGTTGATATGAAGGACCTCACGTGGTCATGAGGACACCGTGTGGTGTGGTGTGGTGCTCACATGGTGTAGTAACTCGACCATAGGTGTTGATATGAAGGACCTCACGTGGTCATGGGGACACCGTGTGGTGTGGGGTGGTGTCACAGTACCTCACTCTCTGCTAGGTGGTGGTGTGTTATCTTATGATCAGGTATAAAGCCGACCCCCTGTTGTTCTCAGGGTGGACTGATTAACACCACCTGGTCAGAAGATGGTGGTTGGTTCCCAGTGGTGCTTATCTCACTGGTGGGTCACGGCTCTCACTGGTACTGTCTAGTGCTGAATTCACTGACTTAAACACTGTTCATCACTGTTCAACGCTGATCCCTCTTCTTTCCGAAATTAAATTGTCACTTTTGATGGGATATGTTGATGTCTCTGTGGTGAGGAGAGAGCCGGGGGCAGCTGCCGCAGTAGAAGTGGGCGCCAGATAGGTTTTGACCCTCCGGTGGTCAAAGATGTGTGTGTGTGTGTGTGTGTGTGTGTGTGTGTGTGTATCAGTTTGTGTGGTCCTGGTGTGTGAACCGGCTGGTTAATTCCAATGTTAACCAGGTTGGTTCATGTATATTATATTGGGCTTTAGTAACGAAACCCAATTGAAATTTCTTCTTTTATTAAAAAGTATTATTTGTATAATTCCTGAGTGTAGATCAACCGTAAGTTCCACTATTTATGAGTGTGATGAGAAAGGACGGTGTCTGTAAATAGATGTGAATCAACGTCCGTTCGATGTAAGTTTGGGAGTGAGACTTTGAGTAGTGACCCATCGAGGGAGAACGGAATAGACGCGTCGTCCTCCCTCGAGGGAAGACGGAGCCATCCACTGCGGCTCTCAAATAACGTCTTCCTCTAGTCAAGGATATCAAGCTACTGCTCGCTTCAGGTGGCCAGGAGCCGGCTACTTTATGCCTTTACTCAGCATAGTATGACGCAGCTTCCCGTGGGCGCACCTTATCACGTGCATTGAACATGTCACCTAATAGCCAGTGGAAAGTTACAGGGGGTGAATCAGTATATAAATCAAATGTAATTAACCCATTTATATAATTCTTATGTTTATGAAACATGGGCCAATACATGTGTGTGTGTGTGTGTGTGTGTGTGTGTGTGTGTGTGTGTGTGTGTGTGTGTGTGTGTGTGTGTGTGTGTGTGTGTGTGTGTGTGTGTGTGTGTGTGTGTGTGTGTGTGTGTGTGTGTGTGTGTGTGTGTGTTTGCATGGTGTGTGTGTGTGTGTGTGTGTATAATAATAATAATAATAATAATAATAATTAACGGTTTATTGAAAAAGTTCTGCAGTCTGAAGACTGAAAATATACATTGGACATAAATGACTTATTACATACATTGGTGGTTTAACAAAAGCCTTCATTAGAGAAAGGTGAAGGAACATACAGTGAACATACAGAGTAATGTAGGTGTTGAACAGCAAACCCGTAGTGTAGTAACTCCCTCACAGATGGTGTTAGGAGGAACTCACGTGGTGTAGTAGTTCCCTCAGATGGTGTTATGAGGGACCTGGCGTGGTGTAGTAATTCCCTCGCAGATGGTGTTATGAGGGGCCTCACGTGGTGTAGTAATTCCCTCACAGATGGTGTTATGAGGGACCTCACGTGGTGTAGTAATTCCTTGACAGATGGTGTTATGAGGGGCATCACGTGGTATAGTAATTCCCTCACAGATAGTGTTATGAGGGACCTGACGTGGTGTAGTAATTCCTTGACAGATGGTGTTATGAGGGGCCTGACGTGGTGTAGTAATTCCCTCCCAGATGGTGTTATGAGGGGCATCACGTGGTATAGTAATTCCCTCACAGATGGTGTTATGAGGGACCTGACGTGATGTAGTAATTCCCTCCCAGATGGTGTTATGAGGGGCATCACGTGGTATAGTAATTCCCTCACAGATGGTGTTATGAGGGACCTGACGTGGTGTAGTAATTCCTTGACAGATGGTGTTATGAGGGGCCTGACGTGGTGTAGTAATTCCCTCACAGATGGTGTTATGAGGGACCTCACGTGGTGTAGTAATTCCCTCACAGATGGTGTTATGAGGGACCTCACGTGGTGTAGTAATTCCCTCACAGATGGAGTTTTGAGGGGCCTGACGTGGTGTAGCAATTCCCTCACAGATGGTGTTATGAAGGACCTGACGTGATGTAGTAATTCCCTCACAGATGGTGTTATATGAGTGAGGTGTGGTCCCAGGCCTTCCTATCGTGGACGTATTAATACACCACTGGTTGTTGTTGGGTCTCGGGGCAGTTATCACTGGGTACCTGGGACCTCACTGTCTGAAGGTTAACTTGGGAACGACTCTGCTGTTACTGTTGAGTTGTTCTCACTGACTTAAGCACTGTTCACCTCTATTCAACACTGGTTCCATTCCTTTCCTAAATGAAATTGTAACTTCTGGCGAGAACTTATTGATATTCCGGTGGGGAGGAGGGTTCAGGGGAGGGGGTTGGTATGGGCCAACATAACAGTTGACCTGGCTGCTCCGACAGGAGCGCCAGGTACGTCTTGACACTTCAGTGGTCAAGGATGAAGTGTGTGTGTGTGTGTGTGTGTGTGTGTGTGTGTCAGTCCGGTGACCGGATAAAACCCCAACGGACAAAACCCCAGTCTCATATATAAAATATAAAATAAAACACTTTTAAGCTTAGCTTAGGTTAGGTTAGGTTAGGTTAGTGTTGACAAATGACAACCCTGTTGGGGTTTTGTCATGGAACCGTCAGCTCATGTGGTCCTGGAGTGAGCTAATGAGCCTCTGCAGGGGATGGTTTGACCCGGAATGGGTTCGTTATAGACTGTCAAAGACAAAGGTAATCGATAACATCATTACGTGTTCCCAGAGGCTCCCGGCACGGCGCTACGTGATACACTGCCGCTGGGGAGACACGCTGAGAGGCTGAGGTATCTTGGTTCTTCCCTGGTGATGGATGATGTCGGGTGGTGTATATACTGTGGGTAGCAGCCGCGTGCTGTAGCCAATGTGAAAAATT